AGCTACTCGGGAGGCTGAGGCAGGAGAATTGCCTGAACCCAGGAGGCGGAGGTTGCGGTGAGCCGAGATGGCGCCATTGCACTCCAGCCTGGGTAACAAGAGCGAAACTCTGCCTCAAAAAAACAAAACAAACAAAAAAAAACAAAAAAACACCTCCTGCCTCTCTAGCAACTGATGACTCCATTTATTGTCAAACAGAAGCATCTTCTATTAAGTAACCAAATACAACATGACCCGGGTGCTCGTCCTCATAAAGTTTAACTTGCATCTGCATCTAATCAAGTCATTAGCTATAACCTGACATTTGTAGAGAATCCAGTCGAAGGACTAGGTATAGTGACACCATGAAGAAGCAATGAGATAAATGTACATGATGTCTGGAGGAAAAGCAGTTCTGGTCTCTTCAAAAAGTCAGTGTCATGAAGGAAATAGTAGTAATAGAGGAACTGTGGTCGGATAAAAATAGATTTATGATTCATAACCAAATGCATTCGGCATTACTCGATTTGCATAAACCAGCAAAAAAGGACATTTGCTGCAATTTAAGAAGGTTGAATAGTAAAGTTTTTAGATGATGTTGAAAAAGTACTATTAATTATTTAGTTATGATAATGGACTTGGAATTAGTAAGAAAATATTTCAATTTTTCAGAGTTGCACGTGGAAATATTTAGGGGTAAAATGTCATGAAGTCTACATTTACCTTTAAGTACTTCAGATATATATCTACCTTGAAATGCTTCAGTGCTCACATTTTGCAATATTGACTTTGGAATTACGTAAATGTTTTACATAATTATGAAAACAATTAAATTGAAAAATGCTAAACAACTAAAAATGAAAATGAAATAAATGAACCCAACCATAGGTCAGGTTGACAGAGAAAAGGATTATCTTAAGTGACTTTTATGAAACCCAGTATTTTGACTGTAAATATTGGGCATTTGGACAAAAAAAAAACAACAGAAATTTTAAAATAAATTCAGTATTGCTACTACTAATAGTGGTATTGTTATTTTAAAAGCATTAACACACATTCCATCTATCTAAAATACATACACTGCAATGCAAACAACGCGATCAGGAAGCAAGATTTTTCAGCATAAGAGAAATAGGGCACGAAAACTAAAATCAAAGAAAAACTGAAATCTTCTAAATTAACTGCAAACAGTTTTTCCATTTCATGTTTCTCTTAAAAAAACTCATATTCCGTAGCTTTGTCCTTTCAAAAAACTACACGCACTAACAACAGCGCAGTGAGCATTCTTGGTGCCCAGTTTACTGTTCTTTTAACACCATTTCCCATTAAAGTAAACCAAGGCCCAGCAGGGTACGGTGGCTTACACTTGTAATCCCAGCACTTTGGGAAACTGAGGTGGGTGGATCACTTGAGGTCAGGAATTCGAGACCAGCCCAGCCAACATGGTGAAACCCTGTCTCTACTAAAAATGCAAAAGAATCAGCCAGGCATGGTAGCACATGCCTGTAATCCCAGCCACTCAGGAGGCTGAAGCAGAAGAATCACTTGAACCCAGGAGGCAGAGGCTGTGGTGACCTGAGATCACACTACTATACTCCAGCCTGGGTGACAGAGTGAAACTTGGTCTCAAAAAGAAAAGAAAACAGAAAAGAAAAGAACCAAGGCCCCTGGAGAGAGAGTGGATTGTCCATCTTGCACAGGATGTACACAATATACAGGAAATACACAAAGTGAGCTGCTAAGTCTTAAAAGAAGGAAACTAACTGAGCCTACTGGGGTCACGTCCAAAGGACAAAGTCAGAGTTCAACAATAAGATCAGCCGGGCGCGGTGGCTCACGCCTGTAATCCCAGCACTTTGGGAGGCCGAGGCGGGCGGATCACGAGGTCAAGAGATCGAGACCATCCTGGCCATGGTGAAACCCCGTCTCTACTAAAAATACAAAAATTAGCTGCGCGTGGTGGCGCGTGCCTGTAATCCCAGCTACTCGGGAGGCTGAGGCGGAAGAATGGCTTGAACCCAGGCGGAGGTTGCACTGAGGCGAGATCGCGCCATTGCACTCCAGCCTGGCAACAGAGTAAGACTCCGTCTCAAAAAAAAAAGATAATTCTAGCCTTGAAAAGTATAACTGCAGTGTAAACAGGTACAATATTAAAAATCCACTAGTTTGGAATAAAACTGAAAATGAAACACATGACCTGGGAAGACTACTCGGGCAACGATTGACTGTACTGAAAACACGTGAGTCATGGCAATGAATCCAGTGTGTTTGCTTTTTCTACATAACGTGAGGATAATCCTTGAGCAAGAATCCAGTGTTTTGTCTAATTTTCCCATACATTTTTATTTTAAGGTGACCAAACGAAAGAACTAATAAATGCAGAAAAATAACAGAATTAGAAAAAAGATATTTTTCAACCACTCATTAGACAGTGGCTCTGAAGTGGTTTATAACAGATGGGTTCACTGACAACCTGGACACACGAAGAGAGCGCAACAGGCAGGAAGTGCAGTGCACGGCATCACTGATAAAGGTATTTTTGCCAAAAATGGAACCGGACTCTGATCAACCTTTAGATCTAACTATGAATTTACAGAAAGTGTGGGAACAGTGCAATGCTGAAGCAACATCGTTGGATACGATTAGGCAATGCCAGAGTAGCGAGACCTGCAGGACAAAAAACTTTTGTTTTTGTTGTTCTTTTAAACAAACCCAAGGAAACAAAAAGAGGAAGGGAAAATAGTTAAAGACTGAAGAGACGTCGCAACCAGGTGCGGTAATGTGGACCCTGTTTGGATACCAAATAAAAACAAACCTACTGTGACAAAGAATCCATGAGAAGAGCATGGAACTGGAACACTGATAATGTTGGATACTCTAAAAGAATTCTTCATGTTTAAGGTGTCATGAGAATGATTTCTTAGAGGCACATATTAATTACTGGCAAATAAAGGGGATGTTTGGATTTGCTTTTTTTTTTTAAGACAGGCTCTTTGTCCAGCCTGGCTAGAGTGCATTGGTTCAAGTATAGCTCACCGTAACCTCAAACTCCTGGGCTAATGTGATCCTCCTGCCTCAGCCTCCCTAGACTGACTATAGGTGTGTACCACCATATCCAGCTAATTAAAAATTTTTTTATGGAGATGGGGTTTGCTGTGTTGTCTAGGCTGGTCTCCAGTTCCCGGCCTCAAGTGATCCTTCTGCCCTATGGCTTCCCAAAGTGCCAGGATTACATGTAATCTTGTCTTGACCTTGGAAATGAATCCACTGCCATGCCTTGTCAGATTTGCTTTACGTAATCAAGTGGGACAGAATGGGAGGACCAAATAAAACAGAATTAGCCATATATTGGTAACTTGGCAAAATGGACAATAGATATATAGGGATACCTTCTACTATTCTTTCTCATTTCGTGTATATTTTTAACTATCCATAATAAAAGGTTTTCAAAATCTCTCAAATTAAAAAAGATGAACACAAATATGTATGATAAAATGTAAAATGTCAAATTCTAGCTGATGAGTATATGGATGCTTATACTCTCTAGTGTTTGAAAATATTCACAATAAAAATAGGAAGGAAAAGAAACTATTTACAATAGTAAGCACCTTTTTTCCTTGAGAGGGAGTCTTACTCTCTCCTCCAGGCTGGATTGCAGTGGTGTGATCTTGGCTCACTGCGGCTTCCATTTCCTGGGTTCAACCAAATCTCATGGCTCAGCCTTTCAGTAGCTGGGACTACAGGCATGTACCACTATGCCTGGCTAATTTTTTATTTTTAGTAGAGATGGGGTTTCACTAAGTTGTCCAGGCTGGTCTTGAACTCCTGACTTCAAGTGATCTGCCTGTCTCAGCCTCCCAAAGTGCTGGGATTACAGATGTGAACCTTTTAAAAAAAATTTTTTTTAAACAGGGTCTTGCTCTGTTAACCAGGCTGGAATGCAGTTGCATAATCTCAGCTCACTGCAGCCTTGATTTCCATGGCTCAACTGATCCTCCCCACTCAGCCTCCCCTGTAGCGGGGACTACAGGCACATGACACGAGGTGCCTGGCTAATTTTTCTATTTTTTTGTAGAGATGGGATTTTGCCATGTTGCCCAGGCTGGTCTCGAACTCTGGGACTTACAGGAATGAGCCACCCCATCTGGCGTCAGTAAGCAGAATTTTATTTTATTATTTTTTTTCAAGACAGAGTCTTGCTCTGTCACCCAGGCTGGAGTGCAGTGGCGCAATCTTGGCTCACTGCAACCTCCACCTCCCAGGCTTAAGGGATTCTCCAGCCTCAGCCTTTCTAGTATCTGGATTATAGGTGTGGGTCACCATGCTCAGCTAATTTTTGTAAGTAAGCAGAATTTTAAAAGCACTTAAGCCGGGGGTCTCCAATCTTTTGGCTTCCATGGGCCACACCGGAAGAAGAATTATCTTGGGCCACACATAAAATGTACAAACACAAATCATAGCTGAAGAGCTTTAAAGAATTGCAAAGAACTCTCATAATGTTTTAAGAAAGTTTACAAATTCCTGTTGGGCCACATTGCAAGCTGTCCTAGCCTGCAGGTGGGACAGGCTTGACTTAAACCCAGCCAGGATTCAGAGCCGTGTCAGGCTAGAGAGATTACGAAACGTGGCTACAGACACCTAATGCTGGCAGTTACCAGTAATCTACCCCCACATTCAATACAAATGACAGAGTTCACCAAAAATATTCAAATATGAATTACTAAAGTATGAACGGAAAGAAAAAACAGGGACGTAGAGGAAAGGATTCCATCTGACTACACAGTGAAAACCTATTTATTGTGCTTACTGCAAGCCCACAGAAGCTCAGAAGGTTTCTGATACGGCGCTCTATTACACAGTTATAAATACACCAGGACAAAGCAGCTAACCTGCTTGTGACTCAAACACATTAACCAGACTCTGACATCAGTAGCTATTGCAAAACCACTGCTTATCGACCGAGATCCACGGTCACGGCACAGCCTCATATCCTTTTTGCCCACTGATAAGGATCTTCATACCTGATGATGACGCACTGGTTCTCTCTGTCAATGATCATGTTTCTGTACATATTATCTGCAAGGGCGTAGATATGTGGTGGGTTTTCATACTGTGCCTAGAAAAGCAAAAAATAGTAATACATAAATCATAAAAAAATAAAAACATAATCATGGTCAGAGAGGCAACGTATTTCTTTCCCTCAATTTGGAAATGAATGCAAGCACTATAGTTCCACTTCCTGTGATTACATCTCAAAGGTTGCATGATACGAGAATTCATAAAATTTCCTAGGTCATCAAGAGTTACACCCGCACGAAATTAAGATGGAATTTACGAGTCTTCCGTAGGCATACGCACGATTCAGCCTTCTGATGTGCCCTGCGTCTTCAGACACTCCAACACCCTGCTCTTCCACCCATACATACCTCTGCAGTTGACAGTCCATTTCTAAATGTTTCTGTAGACGCTTAGGCAACAGGTCTTAGGAGACGCCTGCCACACACCTAGATCTGACTTCCACCAGAATTCCAAATTCCTATGTAATTTTTTCTAAGAGGACACATTGTAGATTCCGGAGCCTCAGGACGAGTTAGGTGAGATTATCTACGGATCAGGAAAAATCCTTAAAGAGGGCAAGGAGGTGTGGGGTTCTTTAAAGGGATAAGCCAGTTTGTTTCATCTCTACTGGAAACAAAAAAATCCTAAAATCCTGCCACACTAAGATACTCTCCCGGGTTTGTGATTTCATCTTATAGGATATCTTAGCTATGCACCAATATGAAACTAAATACATTTTCCATGCTTAAGAAATTCTCAGGCTGACTTCAGCCCTGCTTTATTCCATTTCTGGACATACACCTTCATCACAACCTCAAAAATTACCAAAAACAAAAATACTTAGTTGGGTATATATGGGGAAAGAACACTCCCAGCCTGTAATCACTCCAAGCTACTTGGTAGGCTGAGGCAAAAGGGCCATGTAAATCCTAGGACCTGCAGTCTAGTCTCTACAAAAAAAAAGTTTTTTTTTTTTGAGACGGAGTTTCGCTCTTGTTACCCAGGCTGAAGTGCAATGGCGCTATCTCGGCTCACCGCAACCTCCGCCTCCTGGGTTCAGGCAATTCTCCTGCCTCAGCCTCCTGAGTAGCTGGGATTACAGGCACGCGCTACCGTGCCCAGCTAATTTTTTGTATTTTTAGTAGAGACGGGGTTTCACCACGTTGACCAGGATGGTCTCGATCTCTAGACCTCGTGATCCACCCGCCTCGAAAAGTTTTTAATTAGCTGGGTGTGGTAGCACTCGCCTGCAGTCCTAGCTACTTGGGAGGCTGAGGTCGAAGGATAGCTTGAATCCAGGAGTTGGAGGATGCGGTAAGCTACAGTTGTGGGAATAGTGGTTTCCAAGCTGCATGTCTCACAATGAGAGATGGGAAAACAATTTGACAAGACAGGTAAAGCTTTACACAAAGGTAAAGCTCAACTTACTTAACCCATTTTATTGTAAAATGACTTACTATCGAAAAGGGGTCCTGGCTAGAAGCTGTTGCTCACTGCCATGTTCTGGAAGATGAGAGCTTGGTGGGGAGGGGTTAGGACAAGGGGGCTTTGTATCCAATACCCAGTGTTTCTCCCAAGTTGTGGGCAAGGGGCTCTTAAGGGGAAGTACCCAGTGAGGACTGCAAGCTATGCCTAGACCTGGTAGACGAAAGAACCCTACGCAGGAACCAGAACATGTTATCTCTGCCTTAACCTTACGGTCAGAACTGATGTCTGTAGGGACATCAGGACATGGATTTACATGGACTTTTTTTTTTGTTTTTGAGACGGAGTTTCACTCTTGTTGCCCAGGCTGGAGTACAATGGCACCATCTCGGCTCACTGCAACCTCCGCCTCTTGGGTTCGGGCAATTCTCCTGCCTCAGCCTCCTGAGTAGCTGGGATTACAGGCACGTGCCACCATGCCCAGCTAATTTTTTGTATTTTTAGTAGAGACGGGGTTTCACCATGTTGACCAGGATGGTCTCGATCTTTGACCTTGTGATCGACCCGCCTCGGCCTCCCAAAGTGCTGGGATTATAGGCGTGAGCCATGGCGCCCAGCCTAGATGGACTTCTAGTCCATACTGCTTGTGCAGGATTATTATAATTATTATTTTAATTTAACAGAGTTTAACTGAGCAGAGAATGACTCAGAACAAGAAAAGGTTCAGAGAGTCTCCGGTGCTGCCATATGCTGTAAGATTTAGGGGCAGAAAAAGGAAGGTCGTGTACAGAAAGTGGAAGTGAGGGCCGGCCCTGGCTCACACCTGTAATCTCAGCACTTTGGGAGGCCCAAGTAGAAGGACTGCTTGAGGTCAGGAGTCCGAGATCAGCCAGGTCAACGTGGCAAAACCCCCTCTCTACTAAAAATACAAAAATTAACCAGGCATGGTGGTGCGTTCCTATAAATCCCAGCTACTCAGGAGGCTGAGGCAGGAGAACTGCTTGAACCTAGGAGGTAGAGGCTGCTGTGAGCTGAGACCGCACCACTGCATTCCAGTCGGGGTGACAGAATGAGAGTCTGTCTCAAAAAAAAGAAAATGGAAGTGAGGTACAGAAACAGCCAGATTAGTTCGTTTGGAGTTTGCCTTATTTGAACATTGTTTGAATCGCTGGCCACTGCTGATTGGCCAAAACTTGGTGATTTGCAGAAGAGTAGATTACAGTTTGTTTATACATCTGGTTAGGCTACAGTTCACTGTGTACAGAGAAACATTTAGGGCTGGGCGTGGTGGCTCAGGCCTGTAATCCGAGCACTTGTGGAGGGCAAAGCCGGAGGATCACTTGAGCCCAGCAGTTCCAGATCAACGTGGGCAACATAGTGAGACCTCCTCTCCACAAGAAAGAAACAAAATCAGCTAGACACGGTGACGTGCACCTGCAGTCCCAGCTACTCGCTCGGGAACCTGAGGTTGGGGGATGACTTGAGCCCTGGAGATGGAGACTGCAGTGAGCCAAGATCATGCCACTGCACTTCAGCATGGGTGACAGAGACCTTGTTTCAAAAGAAAAAAGTAAAACACATTTAGACTAAACTTAAAATATGTAAGGAGGCAGCTTTAGGCTAAACTTAATTTAACAATTCCCCTCTTGCACTTTTTTTTTGTTTTTAAATAGAGACAGGGTCTCACCATGTTGCCCAGGCTGGTCTTGAACTCCTGGGCTCAAGCGATCCTCCCACCTTGGTCTCCCAATATGCTGGGATTACAGGTGTGAGCCACCCCGCCCAGTCCAATTTTCATCTTTTGGTCATCTTCTCAATTTTCAGATACTGTCCCTCTGTCACATTGTAAAGACATACTTATTTGCTCTCAAGTATCATTGAGAAATAGCAGAACAGTGGGGTTTGTAAAATGGGAAGAAAGACTTTAGGTTACTTTTTGTAAGGGTTAAAGTAGAGGGGACCTCCTCCTGTTGGCATCTCTTGGTCTGTTTCTTTAAAGTTTTCATTAGGTCACATTTAGCATGAGTGCCCCATGTTGGTTTGGTCTGGTCTATTAGGGGTTAGTGCATGAGTTTAGTACAAAACAATGACCTCTCATAATTTTGTTAAAAATTCTCTTCTTGGGAGGCTGAGGCAGAGAACTGCTTGAACCTGGGAGGCGGAGGTTGCAGTGAGTTTAGATAGAGCCACTGCACTACAGCCTGGGCAACAGAGCGAGATTCCGTCTTTAGAAAAAAAAAATTCCCCTTTTTAGGTCAGGTTCTCACTAGGTGAGACTGTCACCAAAACTTTAGGTCTTAGTGTCCCTTTCAGTTACCATCATTTTGGGGTTCTGGTCTCAAGTGCACGATTATCATTAATGACTCTGAAAATTAGAAAGTAGAGGACTGGAAGACAAGAAGATGGAAAATCGAAGGAACCAGAGTGGTGAGAAAGCTGCGGGCAACGGGGGAAAGGTATGGGCAAGCCACCGTCCAGTAAGTCTGCTGAACTGTCATACTCGACCTCTGCATGTCACTCTGTATTTTCCAAACTGCTTTCCCTCTGTGGACTTACTGAACCTCTCAGCTATCTATGAGAAAACTAGAGTAGGCATTTCCTCTTCCTGATTCTTCTCTTCCCTGAGACTCTCACTTCAACTCCTAGTTCCACCACTTAGTAGATTGTGATACTTCATTTCTCTGAGCCTCTGTTTCCTCATCTGTGAAATGGAGATAGACGCTGTAACACAGCCAGCACCCAGGGCTGTTTCATTATTGTTGCAAGTATAACATAGTACACGGCACTCAGTAAATGCCAGTTTTACAATAACCTGTTACCATTAGAAGTAAAGATAAGCGTACGTTTTAGAAATAATACATTTCTTTAAAGAGAACACTTCAAAAGATAAATGGTCTAAAAGGGATGTGTATATAGCAACCCTTTTCAGAAAACTGGAGAGAAGCACACATGCACCGCACTTCCATCTACAGCGTCTTGGCTGACACTGAGGACGCGGAGCCAGCTCTGGGCGCCTGCTGATCGGTGCACTAGGGCAGGGCCAGCCTCTGCTGACAGTGTTTCCCTTGTGCTGGGCTCCCATAAAGGCAGCATTCTCAAAGGTCTTTCGCGTGGCAGCCTCTGAAGCTCCAGCGACCAGCACCATTCATCTGGCAACAATGGGGTGGGCTCTTGCTCCGGGTAAATTGCCTTCCACTTCAACTGATGAATTTGTGTGGGCTCTCTTTTGTTTGCTTTTTAGGGGTCAGGATTAATGAATGCTCTTGTGCTTCTGCTGCAAAGAGGGAAGGAAAATGAAAGAAAAAGATGCAGAGATGGGGAGGCCTGGGGAAGTGGTGAACCAAAGAAGAAAATATAAATTACAGCTTCCACTTTCACAACACAACTGAAATGGCTACGGAGCTGATTTTGAATAGGGACCAGGGTCAAATTAATAAATGAAGTAACACAAGATTCATTTTTCATGTTCAAGTCATAGTTATATAGTTTAACAATAGTTCTGATTCTGCAAATCAGTACCCATAGCTCTAATTTTTTTTTTAACCTATAACTGATTTTTATTCCTTAGAGTTGTGTCATATGTGGAAGCAGGAAGATCCCTAAGCTGTAGGTCCAACATCCCATTTACTCATTTTTTCATGCAAATGAGGCTCAAATATTAGACACTCCTAAGTTTTGAGCTATGCTCTAAAAAGGAGATCATTAGGCAGGCATGGTGGTTCATGCCTGTAATCCCAGCACTTTGGGAGGCCGCAGCAGGTGCATCACCCGAGGTTAGGAGTTCGAGACCATCCTGACCAACATCGTAAAACCCGGTCTCTACTAAAAATACAAAATTAGCTGGGCCTAGTGGCACATGCCTGTAATCTCAGCTACTCGAGAGGCTGAGGAGAAGAATCATTTGAAACCGGGAGGCGGAGGTTGCACTGAGCCGAGACTGTGCCATTGCACTCCAGCCTGGGCAGCAAGAGCGAAACTCCAGCTCAAAAAATAAATAAATTAAATTAAAATTAAAAAATAAAAATAAAGAGCAGATCATTAAAATAAACAATGTCACTTAAGTTTTTCCAAGAAGTAATACATGATTAAAAAAAAAAAAAGTGTAGGCCAGGCATGGTGGCTCAAGCCTGTAATTCCAGCACTTTGGGAGGCCGAGGCAGGTGGATCACGAGGTCAAGAGATCGAGACCATCCTGGTCAACATGGTGAAACCCCATCTCTACTAAAAATACAAAAAATTAGCTGGGCATGGTGGCACGTGCCTGTAATCCCAGCTACCTGGGAGGCTGAAGCAGGAGAATTGCCTGAACCCAGGAGGCGGAGGTTGCGGTGAGCGGAGATCACGCCATTGCACTTCAGCCTGGGTAACGAGCAAAACTCCATCTCAAAAAAAAAAAAAAAAAAAAAGTAAAAGTACTACCAACTTCAAGAAAAACAATGTCTGCATCATAAAAGCCCTAAATAAGAAAGTAATTCATGTGACATGTAACTTACCGCTCCTTGGTACATTTCAATTTCCTTGTCTCCAAAATATGGCATCTGCTTGAAAGGGTTGACTGAAATCAATACGGATCCTATATATGTCTGAATTTAAACTCGGTTAAGGTCCATCATTAATCTTCATAGCTACACATTTTTCAAATTAATAATCAGACGTTATCAAGAATTTGTAATGACTATCCAAGTGGAAAGCTTGTGTACTTGTTTTCTAAAAGATTACAAATAAAGACAAAAGCGATCATCCGACTAGCAGAGGCTTTGTTCCTCCTCAGGAAGACTAATGAATTTAATTATCAAGCTGCTACAAATTGAAATCATTATTTTAAATGATTAACGCACATTCTTTCAGGATTGGTAACATGTACAGCAAGGAGAAGAGACAACAATGCAAAAATGGCCAAAGAGGGAAAAAAGCAGTCACCAGTCCTCCCCTCAAAAGATACGCACTTTTTCCTTCGAACTTTCGTATCTGTTAGGTACACTAAAAGCATATTCATCAGCCAGCCTGGGTGGCCCACGCCTGTAATCCCAGAACGTTGGGAGACCAAGGTGAGCAGATCATTTGAGGTCAGGAGTTCAAGACCAGCCTTGCTCACATAGTGAAACCCCATCTCTACTAAAAATACAAAAATCAGTGGGGCGTGGTAGCGCACACCTGTAATCCCAGCTACTCTACTCGGGAGGCTGAGGCAGGAGAATTGCTTGAACCTGAGACGTGGAGACTGCAGTGAGCAGAGATCTCATCCCTACACTCTAGCCTGGGTGACACAGTGAGACTCTGTCTGAGAAAAAAAAAATTCATCTACTCATTTAGCAAATACAGGGATACATTTAGCAAATACAGGGATACAAGATGAACCGACAGCTCTATTCTACAGAAGGTTAGAGGAATGAAAAGGCATCAATAGGTAATTCCCTGGCCAGGTACAGTGCCTCATGCCTGTAATCCTGGCACGTTAGGAGGGTGGATGGCTTTAGGCCAGGAGTTTGAGGTCAGCCTGGGCAACACAGCGAAACTCCGTCTCTAAAAACAACAGCGAACAACCAAAAATAAAAAATATTAGCTGGGCATGGGGACATGTGCCTATAGTCCCAGCTACTTGGGAGGCTGAGGCGGAGGTTGCAGAGGGCCTATGTCAGAGGTTATAGCAAGCCAAGATCATTGCATTCCAGCCCGGGTGACAGAGAAAGACCTTGTCTCAGAACAACAGAAATAATCGTAAATAACGTAGTTTTCAGAGAAGAAAACTATAAACCCACCTACATCAGGTTTAGGGAAAGAACGTATTATTTCTGCTTGGGGAATCCAAGCCTACGATCACATGAAAAATATTTCCATCTACTCATTCAGCTATCAACTAATTTGAATTGGGTGCTCACATAACATGCCAGGCCCTGTTTTAGATGTTCAGGATATGACAGTGAACAAAATAAACAGAATACAAAAAAAACCCCTTGACTTCATGGAGGAAAAAAAAAACGCCAACAAACACCACACACATTCAAAGCTGTTTCTTTCCATGATCGATTAAGGCGTTTGGAAATTTCACAAATAAATTGTTAAACAGAAAGTTATTTACAAATATATAGCTTTAGATAAAGACTTAAAACTACGAGATTTCCTCCCACGGGCGGAAATTTTTATATTTACATATTAAGACCTGTGTGGCACAAAAACCAGCCCAGGTGTGAGTCAGACGGGCTGGTGCTGAGAGAGATAAAACAGGACCTACGTAACAGCCTCACTGAAATTAAATGAAATAATTGTAAAATGCTCAGCACTGTGTCTGAGCATAGCACGTAGTAGGGGCTTTTCCCTTAATATCCTCTAAGGTGCATGTTTTATCATGGTAGTATCTGAAATTATGATGGATTTTTCGAGTGTGGCTTAACATGACAGGCGGTGTTTGAGAAGCAATGGTTTGTTAGTTTCTATGAGACACAGTATTATTATTACTGAATATAAATCAATGTGAGATGGGTCATATTATCAGGTAATTCTTTTAAAGAAAATATCTTAAATCATTGTGTATATACAAAGGAGAGCATGCAGGATGACTTGATTGTGATTTTACTACTCTTTATCACTGACCAGAAAGATCTTCAAACCTGAAAGGGTTGAACGTGAATTGCGATGAGAGGGAAGATGAGGTGGTTTTAAGGCCAGTCCAGCGGTGTCCAGCTCTGGTCTAGGGGCAGGCCACAGAGCTGAGACAAAATGCTGATGAGACAGGGAGCCATGACTGAAAATTACTGAAGAGTTATGGAAGCAGGGCCACAGAAAAAAAAAAAAAAAAGCAGGGCCAATGATAGATTAGTGGCTTGCTTTGTTTGAGGTAAAATTTAGGACACATAAATGTACTGTTAAAATTATCAAGCAGGTATGACGTCCATGATGCCACAGCCAAGACTCGGTGAGGGGGCATAAAATTAACCCAACACATCTACACTTACATCTTAATACCGAATAACAACCCTATTTCACTTCAGGATGACTATTCCTTATCCAAAATGCTTTTTTTCCGATTTTGGAATGTTTGCATTACACTCTCGGGTTCGGCATCCCTAACCAAAAATCCAAAATCGGAAGTGCTCCGATGAGCATCGAGTCAATTACTAAAACGTTTCAAACTTGCAGCATTTCAAATTTGGAATTTTCAGAGTAACTTGACTTAACCTGTACAGGCAAACTGAGGCATGGAGACATTTTAAAGGCTGCTTAAGGTCACAGACTATCAGTGGCACAGTTATGATTCAAACTCAAGCCCTCTGGATTCCAAGCCCACACTCTGAATCAGCGAGCTACGATGTCTAAGATGAGCAGGTACTGTTGTGTTAGTATTATTCTTCTTGGGAGCCAGATTTAGCAAATAAAAATACAATATACCTAGTTAAATTGAAAAGTCTTTCAAACAAGAATTTTTTTAAGTATAATGTCCCAATTAAGTATGTTCCCCAATAACATTGGGTTCATAGTTGCAGTGAAAAGTACCTTGTTTATTGGAAATGCAAATTTAACCAGCACTCCTGAATTTTATCTGGCAACCTTAAACTAGAAGTTTAATGGAGGGTGAATGGCAGACTGAATTGGAGAGCTTTAGGTCCTCTTCTAAGTTAGATTCTGTGATGCTTTGCATACTCAGAAACCTACTTCCCTTAGGTGGATTTTTCAAGTATCTTTTTCAAATGGTAAGGACCTAATCAAAACTGAATGAATGAGCTGTGTGTGGTGCCTCCGGCCTGCAGTCCTAGCACTTTGGGAGGATGAGGCTGCTGGATCCCTTGAGCTCAGGAGTTTAAAACCAGCCTCGGCAATCTAGTGAGACCTCATCTCTACAAAATTTTTTTTAAAAATTAGCCGGGCATGTTGGTGTGTGCCTGTAGTCCCAGCTGAGGAGGCTGAGGTGGGAGGACTGCTTAAGCCCAGCAGGTCGAGGTTGCCGTGAGCCTTGATCAGCACTTCCAGCCTGGGCAACAGAGCCAAACAATTCATGAATGAGGTAATGATGATTCTTACGGTAAACCCAATTTTTAAGAAATACAACAGTCTTCACTTCAGAAGAGGAAGATGTTTATGTCACGTCTACATCCATCCCCAGGGAAAAACAAACAGGAAAATAAGCTCATTCCATGGAGGAGGGTACTCCTTCCCTCAGTTGTAAAGGGACTGTGGTGGCTGCCACCTTACCCTAGATAAATTGACTACTGCACACAAGGAATAAAGGGCTGCCCTCAGGACATCAGCCAAAGGCACCACCTCCCCACCAATCCCTCGGTTACCCAATAAATATAAATTCAGTTGCATATGAGCTCCTAAAGTAACTAACGCTTTAAAAACTGTTAATCTGCTACATAAAGAGATAGATACCTCATAAAGTATTCACTAAGTAGGTTACATATATTCTGATAAGGGCCTGGTTAAGGAGACATTTTTTAAAAATTCTTTTTCTTAGAAGAGAAAAAAAAGACAAAAGAAAAAAAAAATCAAAAACAAACAAAAACGATACTTCCTTGGGACTATTCTAAGCCAGTCCTGAATCAATGACTAGGGCTGGAATGAAACGAAGAGGGAAATCTGTATCTGCTCCCTAAATTTATCAGTAGGGTTCTTGAGAAGATACCTAGGAAATAAAGTTTGGTTTAAAATGGTTGTTTCTGTTTGGGTGCTATAAGCACCACACTGTGGGAGGCCAAGCAGGATGACTGCTTGAGCCCAGAAGTTCGAGACCAGCCTAGGCAATAGAGTGAGAGCCTGTCTCTCAAAAAAAAAAAAAAAAAAAATTGTGAAGCATGGTGGTCTGTACATTTAGTTCCAGCTACTTGGGAGGCTGAGGTGGGCGGGTGGCTTAAGCCCAGCAGGGCAAGGCTGCAGTGAGCTGTGATGTGCCACTGCTCTCCAGTCTAAGTGACAGAGCAGATAAAATAAATGCGATGAAATGGCTGTTTGTACAGAAAAACTAAACAAGAAAAACTGAGACAAGAGAATTTAGTTTACACAAAATAAACACCTTGTAGTTATTTCAGGTGAGAGTTTGAATACCTGTTTATCTAAACAATTCTCACCTTTTCCACTTTCCATGCCCGCAGAGGCCTCAGCTCTTTTCCATAGATCTGTGCTCTCCTGCTGGTTTGGGGACTCCAGGTAATTCCAGCAATGCTCACTCCCACTCCCTATTACATAATTCAGGTGTGCCTCTGGGAAAAGCCATTCCGATCTGTGTCCCTGCCCACATAATCCTTGGTGGTGAAGGTGTGGCTTGGGCTAATTTTCAAAATGCCTGAAGATAGAAACCTATGACACCAAAAAGCAGGAAAAAAATAAAGCAAATGCCAATTATTTAAAAGACTCCCAGAGAAAGAAGGGGTCCAAGGTATCTTTAATTGATGGTTCCTGAATGCCTGTCCACGGACCTACAAGTTTTCATTCACCTGCAGCAGGAACGACAAAAAAAGAAACAACGCATTCAATTTTCATGAAGCTTAATTTATCAATATAAACAAACTGTCCTTTATTCTTAGATTATTTCCTCCCTACGTTTTGGTGTAAAAATATTCTTTCTTCTATGAAATGTGATGGTAGCACA